TGGGAGCCCGTCCCCTCAGCCCTGCCACTGCTTCATCAGCCGTTTACGTGACATCCTCAGTCCTTGGCTGTCATTTCGGCATCTTGCCGGCATCTTCGCCAGGAGTGGCTTCTGTCTCAGAACTCCTTGCGCGTCCCAAGAAGCCACTCCTCCCCTGCCCCAGCTCTGTCATGGGTGGCGGCGGTCCAGTCGCATCTTCAGGCTCCACCGCTGAGTCACGTGCTGTTTGTTTCCACTCTGTCCGCAGTGACCTTCTCCACTGATCTCAGACCCTCGGTCGTCTGAGAAGGTTGGAGTCAGCTTCTTCCCAGCTCCCGCCAGTGTCGATGTTTTGCCCTCGTCTCTTGAATCACAAATGTTTTAATGACATCTAGAGTGCGGAATCCTTTCCGGAAGGTTTTCCATTCGCTTTGCCCAGCTCCATCAGAGGAATCACTGTCCGCGGCAGCTCTGGCCTCACGAAATGCGTTTCTTAAATAGGAAGACTTCCGAATCTCAGTCACTCCTGGGTCCAGGGGCTGCAGAGTGGGTGCTGTGTTCGCAGGCATGAAGATGACATTCGTCACATCCATCCCCATCAGAGCTCTTAGGGGACCAAGTGCCTTGTCAGCGAGCAGTCACGTTTTGAAAGGGATCTGTTTTTGAGCATCAGGTCTCTTCAGTGGGCTTAAAACACTCAGTAAACCACATCGTAAACAGATGTGCTGCTGTTGGGCTTGTCGTTCCATTTTCGGAGCTCAGGCAGAGCAGATCGAGCGTGGTTCTTAAGGACCTTAGGATGGTCAGAATGGTGAGTGAGCACTGGCTTCAACTGAAAGTCGCCGGCTGCGCTCGCCCCTGGCACGAGAGTCAGCCTGTCCTTGGGCGCGTTGAAGCCAGGCACCGACCCCTCCCTGGCTAGGAAAGTCCGGGTGGCATCTTCTTCCGGTAGAGGGCTGTTTTTTTCTGCACTGAGAATCTGTCGTTCAGCGCTGGCCCTTCTGGGTGGCGTGCCGCAGCGTCTCCATCCACACGTGCGGCCGCACCTGCGTGTCGCCGTTACGAAGACGGCATCCTCCGTGGACCTCGTGGACCCGGCTCCGCCAGCCTCGCCGTCCTCCGTAGCCTCCTCACCTCTCAGCCGCACAGAGCCGAAGCGTGTTCGGGCCTCGGCGGGACGAGGCTCTGGTGTCAGGGGCGCCGTGCCGGTTCGGTCTCCCGTCCAGACCGCTGGACCTTCTGCACGGCAGCAGCGAGGCGTCCCGCGTTGCTACCGGCCGTGTGTCCGCTGGAGCAGCTCTCTTCGCTCCCTGCAGGGCCTTCCCTTCGCGTTCGCAGCGCGGCTCTCGTCGCCAGGAGCCGAGCCTTCGCCTGTCCCGGCGCTCGATGGCCCCCTCCCGCCCCAGCTGAGTCGTGTCTGGCTTTCGATTTAGAGTGAGGGACCCGGGACTCTGCCTTTCACGTGAGCCCTGAGAAGCCGCTGTGGGGTCGTTCGCTGGCCTGGTTTCAGTGCTGTGTCTCGGGGAACAGGGAGGCCCGAGGAGAGGGGGACAGAGCGGGATGGCTGGTCGGCGGAGCCGCCAGGACACGCCCCGCGTTTATCGGTTAAGTTCGCCGTCTCCTGTGGGTGCCGTTTGCGGTGCCCTAGTGCCGGGGTCCCCGACCTCCAGGCCGCGGACCGGTACCAATCCGTGGCCTGTTGGGAACCGGGCTGCACAGCAGGAGGCGAGCGGCGGGTGAATGAGCAAAGCTCCCCAGTGCCGGCATCACCCCTCAGCTCCACCGCAGGTCCCCAGGCACCAGATTCTCACAGGAGCCCCGGTCCCTAGGCCACAAAGGTTGGGGACCGCTGCCCTAAAGCAGGTATAGAGGTAACATCGGCGGTCGCTGATCACAGGTCACCATAGTGAGTGTAATAATGAAAAGGTGTGAAATGTCGTGAGTCACCGAAGTGTGGCACGGAGTCAGAGTCAGCTCAGGCTGTGGGAGAAACGGTGCCGCTGGACGTGCTGGACACGGGGTCGCCACAGACCGTCAATCTGTAAAATACGCAGTGTTGCTGAGAGAGATGCAGCACGGCGTGCCTGTCTTGCCAGAGATAATGAGGGACATTTCAAAATGATCAGAGGTAGTTCAAGAAGACAAATTCTCAATGTGTCCACATAGGAAATTCAAAATACATGGAAAAAACCTTACAAAATCAAAAGGACACATAAATTCACTGTTGTAGTTTAAGATTGCAACACTCCTATGTCGTAATTGATGTAACAGGTAGACACAAAATCAGTTGTCAGTTGATTTTGTCAGTTATCGTTGTCACTGTCAACCAACTTTACTGACCCACCAGACAGCAGCAGAGTAAAACCTGTTTTCCACCACACATGCCATATTCACCAAGATAGAGCATGCCATAGGCTATTGGTGAGCAAACTGCAGTCTGTGGGGAAATCTAGCCCACTGCTTTGTTTTGTACAGCTTGCAGACTAAAAATGGTTTTTATGTCTTTTTTTTTTATCTTTCATTTTTTAAAGCAGAGGGTTTTATTGCTGCAGTTCAAAGAATAAAATTTTATGCACATGAAAGCCAAGATGAAGACATTTAAGTTAAATGGCAGCTTTGTTAAAAAGTTTTTGTCCTGTTATTGAATTTTCAGCTTTATGTTAAATGAAATTTAAAGATTGTTCATGGAATAATTTAAACCTTTTGAGAATCTTCTAATAAACAGGTAAAAGTCACTTCCAGTTTGTAATAATATTTACAACAATCCTAGCCATTTAATTTTAAGGGTTATTATAGTACATGTGACTAATGTGCATACACAGCATGTCAATAATTTAACACTCTCTACAAAGTGAGAATTGCAGACTAGTGTGTGGCACTGCTCCTGAGTTCTGGTGATGGAGTGGCTGGTCTGTCACACCCGTGCAGTACTAGTGTGCCAGCATGTCTGCCACAGCAGGAAGAAAGTCCAGTTTTCTAAAGCAATGACCATCACATTCCCAGACAGTACCCACTTTACAACTAATCTGGTATATGTAGAAGCCATTGCAGTGTTCTTAAAATTATTTTTAAAAATATAAAGTAGATTTAGCACGAAATGAAAACAATGAACATGAAACATCACCACAATAGTGGCTGAAGCTCACTGTCTTGTTTAACAAAAATTGTTTCTCAAAACATCTGTCATTTCTTACATCACGACGAAGATGAATTTCCCTTAGTCCAAGCTCAGTCTGACGTTTCTCCTGCATTGTGATTAAGTGAGGAGCGTGAGAGCGAAAGGCACAGCCACGCACGGCGGCCGGTTCTGGAGCTGTGGGGGTGACGAGCGGAGCTTCCTGACGCACTGGAGCAGGAGATCTCCGTCCACAGGACGCTTCCTCTTTAACACCGGCACTGATTTGCTATTTATAGTAGTTTGCAAAAATACATTATAAAAACTGGACGAGGTTCTGTTTCTCAGTTTAACTCAGTAATAGACTCACTTCATCTGCAAAAATGTTTGCAGGATCCGAAGTACTGAAGTGACACAAACACCGAAACACAGATGACCAAAGGTGCCAAAGCGCCAACGACATGCGCCATCGCCCTCACGATTCCGGGTGAATGCTGCACACTTCTCGTCAGCTGTGTGGCGCCGTCACCTTCCAGCTGTAAAAGGGGCCCTGTGTGGCTTTCTGCTGTACCACTTATTTGAAAGAGGCTGTTTTCGGTCCCGTAATGCTGAGTGCAGACTGTCACTGAACATGACAGTCTAGGTTTCCAACTAGTTGTCCTGTCCTGTCGGAAGATGCGTACTCTGCCAGTGCAGTTCGACGTGGAGCAGCTGTGATGGGTGGTGGAGCCGCTCCCGTGTGTTCCGGCGGAGAGCAGGCCTGTCAGGGATAAGCTGCCGGGGGGCAGCGGGCAGTTCCGCAGCGCTGTGAGGGAGGGCGCCTTTTGTGTCTCAGGTTTTATTAACCAGTTCCAGGCCCCCGTAACTGTTCAGTCACCGCTATAAGCAGCATTCTCCAGCGTCGAGTGGCAGGTTGTAAGTGTCCTCTCGAAAGCCTTGAGGTCTCCCTGCTCCAGCGAGTTCATGTTGGGCAGCAGCTCTGGTCACGGCCATGGTCCTGTCTGCATCGCAGCCCATGGCCCCCACCCGGCCCGCAGCCAGAATGGTTTTTATGTTTCTAAAGGGTCGTTAGGAAGAAGAAGAAAAAGAACATGCGACAGAGACCTCGCGTGGCCTACGTCACAAAAATAATTACTGTTCAGCTCTTTACAGAAAAAGTTTATTGACTCCTGTGCTAGGCCATAAAACAAATACCAATAAAAGTGAAATCCCATGAGCCTGCTCTCTGAGCAAAACAAAAATTACGTATCATTAACAGAGATATTTAGACAGTCCCAAAATAATTAGAAATTTAAGCATTATACTTCTAAATAACCTATACGTCAAAGAAAAAAACCACAAGGGAAATTAGAACTATCAGAATCTGTGGGATACAGCTAAAACAATGCTTAAAGGAAATTTGTAGCTTTACATGCTTATTGTAGAAAAGGAGAAAAGTCTGAAAATCAGTGATCTGAGCTTAACTCTTAGGAAGCTAGAAAAAGTACAGATTAACCCAGGGTGTGCAGTGGGGGAGGATCACAAAGACAAAAGAGGGACTCGGCGAAACGGAAAACGGACAAATAATAGAGAAAAAAAATTAAACTGAAAGCTGTTTCTTTAAAAGACCAATAAAATTAATAAACCTTTAGTCGCACTGATGAAGAAAACAAGGCAGAAGGACAGGTGATACTACTATGTGGAATGAGAGGTGACGCCACAGACTCTGCTTGACGTGGAAGGGGTTGCAAGGTAGTATCCTGAACAGCTGCATGCCGGTACTTCACTCAGTCTGGACAACGTGGTCAGATTCCTATAGCAGCGCAGATGACCAGAATGGAAGCAAGTAGAAAATACTTATTAAAGAAATGAGATTCATAATTTGGAACACCATAATTACACCCTGGTGAATTCTGTCACATTTTAGGGATAAGTAAGACCAACCCTGAGTAAACTCGGAAGTGGAGGAAGCGGGTCTCTCCCAAGAGGGTTCGTGAAGAGGACATCACACTGACGCCCAAGCAGCCGGGCACCGCAGTGGGACCGTGGACTTCTGGTTCGCGTATGCGTGGAGGGTCCTCCTCCATTCCTGTAACCTGGGTCTCTATTTAAGGCTTTGAACTCAGCATAAAGTTAGTTCTTGCTTCCTAAAATCCAGTCTGACCATTTCTGTCTTTAGTTGAAATTATTATTATTTTGCTTGCAGGTGAATAACAGACTTTTTATTGCCAAAGGTTTTTGCACATTGTTGTGTTTAATTGAAATTATTAATCAATTTGCATTTAATGCAGTCCTTTTTTTGAGTCCTGCTAGAAAAACTTGTCCCATATGTTGGACGGGATTTTGTGGTCTACCCAGTTACTCACCCATTCTGTGGCTGGAAGTAGAACATACAGAAGCCACCTCTAGCTGTCCTGTCTCGCAAGTTCTTGTTTGGAAAAAAGCCTTGGCAAGGTGGGGTCTCCCTCTGGTTTCCCTCTGCAGACCAGGAAGCGCATGTGGGTGCTGCCAGCGCAGTCTGGCGGGCTGGGTGGGACTTTATCCGACGAAGGACTGTGAACACAAGAATGTGTGGAGGATGAAGGTGGGACAGCGTTGGGGGAAAGACATGGTGTCCTGTGGTGGGGGTGGGCTCAGGCAGGCAGTGGGAAGTACCTGGGGGACCTGGAGGCATGCCGTAGGAGCAGCCTAGAGAGCAGCAGGTGCCTGGGGCCACCGGAGGTCTTGGAGTGAGATGAGAGAAATGCGCAGATACCTGTGCTTCGGAAAAGTGAGTCTGCAGCAAAAGCCAGAGGTGAAGGGGGGCAGCTGGACAGCCAGGGAGCCCGTGTCAGGGGCTCCTGGGGCATCACGTGCAGGCAGTCTGGGGTTTATGTCGTGTGGGGCAGTCTTTACCCATGTAAGTAAAGTACAGATAAGGTGAATCCCCTCTGCTGTGACCACAGTTCTGCAAATAATGATTCTTGTAACATTGAAAAGATTTATAATCTCAAAATACAGGTTTACTTTGTTAAAGAGCCAGGCTTTCAGTTTTTCATTTTGTGTCAAACAGTGAAAACTGTTGCAAACCAGCTGGGGCCCACAGGAGTGGGATAGGCCTGGTGTAGTCCAGGCAGCAGCCAGTGAGAGGCTGGAGTGCTGTGGGACGCAGAGGGGTCTCGTCGGTAACAGTTTCTCAGTTGTGGCAAGACCTGGTGTCCAGTGGCAGACGGCAAGGAAGAGGTGGCTTCAAGGATAACCCTGAGTTATTCTGCAAGACAGGCACCGTGAGAGCAGATGCTGGGCAGGCGGGGGTGGCGGAGGGGCAGAGGGTCAAGCAGAACAAGTCGTCTTCGAGTCTGTGAGATGTTTTATGTTCTTTTATGAGATGGTCAGTGAGATGCAGCCCCAAGAGAAGACACAGGAGAGGCTCAAGAAAAGTTGTTACACTCGTGGGTCCTGGAGGCAGGAGGACAGTCCTCGTGCAGGGCCGCGGGGGGGAAGCTGCAGGGGTGCCGGGAGGCAGAAGCCAGGAGTCGGCTTGCTTAGGCGCCACAGCCTCCATTGGGGCTTCCATGGGAAAGGAGGGCAGGTGAACAGTGCGAGTTGGCTAGTTTGAACAGCAGCGTGGCCCTGAGCTGCAGGGGTGGTCCCTAGTTGCCCAGCCCTGGGATGGAGAAAGCTGGCATGTCGCCTCCTGTGGTGTTGTGAGCCCACAGAGGAGGAGTTGTGCTATGGGGGTGCAGGCAGGCACGGGCCCTTAGCTGTCCTAAGGGGTGACTGGCCCCAGGAGGGACAGTGGCTCTCCATCTAGAAAGGCATTCTAACATGTGAAAGCATGATGTATAGAAAGCTAAAAGTACATGTGATGCAGAGACATTTGGGGACAGATGCCCAGTGTTCACTGGGGAGAGGGAACAGGCCCTGGGGAGGGGGCTTGTGAGTCTTTAACTTTCTTGAGGTGGAGGGGCATCCTGGTCTGACACATGGGAGACACATCTCCCAGGGGGCCAAGAAGCCAGTGGGCACTGGGGCAGATGGAGTGTAGGGTGGGTGGAGGAGTCAGGGAGGCGGTCAGCTGGAGCCCAGAGAAGCCGGTGGTCCTGAGCTGTGACGGAGTGGGCCGACCTGTCGACTGGGGGGCCTGACCCTCAGCCATCTGGTCAGAGCGTCCTCTGCAGTCCGGGCCCATGTTGGGGACGCACATCTTGGACTTTAGTGCAGAGTTGCTGAGGGCAGATTGGCACAGGTGGGGAGATGTGACCCTCTCCTCTTTCTCGCAGCTCTGTGGCCATCACCATGTTCTGGAAGTTTGACTTGAATACCACGTCCCATGTCGACAAGCTGCTGGATAAGGAGGACGTGACGCTGCGTGAGTTAATGGACGAAGATGACACCTTGCAGGAGTGCAAGGCTCAGAACCGGAAGCTGCTGGACTTCCTGTGCAGGCAGCAGTGTATGGAGGAGCTGGTGAGCCTCATCACCCAGGACCCGCCCTTGGACATGGAAGAGAAGGTCCGCTTCAAGTATGTACTGAGGCCCTGGCCGGGGCCCGGCGCTGGGCAGTGCCGCAGGGAGGCAGCGGGCAGTGTTTGCGAATGGCCGGAGCTAGGGCTTTCTGACGGAGAAGTCGGCCTCACGCATTCCCCTCCTGAGTTAGGAGCCGCTCTTCAGGGTTGCATTTGTGACGTGTAAGACTTCGGAATCTCTCCTGTGTGATTTTTCGTTCTGAATGCTAGTAAGTGACACCGTGTGGGAGTCTTTTGAGTGAAAACGTGTCTGAGGTGAAGGCGGACTGCACGACTGAGCTGCAGGCGGGGCCCAGCCTGGCAGGGTGGCCGGTTAGGAGGTGTGGGAAGTGCTTCCTCCCCAGGGTCTAGGGCTCCGTAGAAATGTGTCGTGTCAGTAGCGACCATTCTCAAAGTTGTTCCTAAAACGTTCCACTCAGCAGCTGGCCATGACGTTAGGAGATGTCAGAGGGAACGGGCTTGGGGTAGCCGAGGAGTGTGAAGAAGCGGGGACCTTGGGTGACAGGAAGGACAGAGTGGACCCAGCCTCCAGCTCTTAGGGTGCCCTCTGGGGCCTGAGCAGGCTCGTGAGCACAGCCAGGCCGCACTCAGTGCTTGCGGGTCCTGTGGGGAGCCAGTGCGTGGCGTTCAGGTCTTAGAACACGGTCAGCAGACCGCGGCCCCAGGCCGAACCCCATTTCCATGGGACCTGCAAGCTCAGAATGGGTCTGTGTTTCTAAATAGTTGATTAAAGTCAAAAGAATAATATCTCGTCACACGTGGACATGACAGCAGATTCACGTTTCGTCGTTCACGAGTAGTCTTGTTGGAGCACAAGCACACTTACCTGTTTGAGATGACAGGGCAGAGCTTGTGGCTGCGGCCCGGGCCATGTGGGGTCTAGGCTCTCTGGCCGTCCGCGGGTCTGCTGCCCTTCGTCTTAGGAGGGGAGCAGATCAGGCAGAGCAGCAGGAAGGGCCTGTGGCAGGGAGACGCCACACCTCGTGTGGGTGGTCCGCAGGGCCTCTGGTGCGGGGGTCGTGCCCGTGCTGCGGGCGGGCCCTGGAGAGGGGCAGGGCCTTCAGGCCGCGGCGACTGTCTGCGGAGGCTCAGATAGAGGCCGTCATGCGTGGGATGTGCCGGTCAGTGCCCGTGGCCTCAGCATCCCATTCACAGCCCCCACCCCTTTTACTTCTCACTTTCACATGTGTCCTGTTTGGTGACGGCTTCTACGGTCTCTGTCTAGAGGGCACTGGTGACAGAGGTGACGAGAGGAGAGCTGGGGTGGGGCCGAGGGACCCCAGAGCGGCGACAGTGAGCCGGGAGAGCTTGCTTTGGAGGGCTTGGGAGAAGTTAGTGGCGACCGGCACAGAGCGAGGCGAGCAGCTTGTGGCAGCACCGCTCACGGGGGGACTTGAGCGTAGGGCAGGAGCGGGGTGAGCAGTTGGCGCGTCCATGGGCAGGCAGACCTGGGCGTGGGTCGGAAGAGTGGGCGCCGCTGCTGGGCGGGGCGCTGCGAGCTCACCAATGTGAGCTTGTCCGTCGCGGTGAGTCGACAGTCGACTGCCGTGTCTGAAGTCGGTCAACGAGGAGGAAGTGCGTGGGTTCGTTCACACACGTGGAGGGCGTGTAGTAGAGAGCACTGCTGAGACCGTGATGGTCTCCGCGGAGCCCGAGGGGGACACGGGAGGCTGCTCTCCCCGTGAGCCCCGCCCTGCCGTCCCATCTGTAAAACGCATGTGCCTATCACTTATTGAACAACCAATGAATCAGCATCTTAATTAATTTGATTTTAATTAAAATTAAATAAAAAGTTCCTTTTTGAGAAAAGGACTCAGTGGGCGGGTAGATGAGGTAGTAGATCCAGGAAGGAATGGGGTCGCGGTGACTTCTCAGACGTGGGGAGGGTACCAGTGGGTAGTGGACCAGGAGTCGTGAGTTGTGACAGTCAGATCTAGGTGTTTCGGGCTTTGTGGCCAGGATATCCCTATTGTGGCTGCTGAGTTCTGTGGGAGTGCGGGTGTGGCTACGTCCCAGTCCACCTGGTTTACGGGGACTAGTGTCCGGGCTTCTCAAGGCTCAGTGACTGCTGACCTTGGCCGGGCTGATGGGGTGGCAGCACCTCCTGCATCGACCTGGTGGGGCAGGACCCCTAGAATCACTTCAGCCCCACGACTGCAGGGGAGTGTGCCCGAGCCAGGCCCAGTCAAGGGGAGCTGCCCATGGGGGCGTTGAGGTCTGGCAGCAGCCCTGATCCTACCCAGGGGCCCCTGGGCCGCCCAAGTATGCAGACACCCTGGCCTCTTCCTTGAGGGTCCTGCTGGGTTTGCCTGCTGAGTTTTAGACTTTGTGAGAAACCCGACCGAAGAGTCCACAGACATAAACCAAGACACCAGTCGTTACGCGTGAGCTACTGTGGGTGGGCGTTGTCACCCCAAGTCTCGGCGTCAGAACTGCTCACCCAATGAGCAGGCCGCACAGCCCCCGCCAGCCCCCGCAAACCTTGCTGTGCAGGTACAGGGCAGAGCGGAAAGGAGGGTGCCGGGTCTCGTCGCCCAGAGAGGCGGCAGGAGGGGGCGGGGGTCTCTGCACTACGACCCAGAGCCTCCGTCCTCGCTCTGGTCACGCGGCGCCCGCTCCCGTGTGCTGGGACCTGGTCCTCCTCGGCCTCCTTCCCATGGGGGTCTGTTCCCTGGCAGCTTCCTGAGCAGGAGCGAGGGGGGCGGGCAGGGTCAGGCCTGTGTGGCAGCGGCCCTTCTTCCTGGTGTGCTGGCCCCGCTCCCTCTGCCCTGGGGCTCTGGACAGGAATTGGAATTCTCTAATTCTGAAGCTTCGTCTTCGAGTTCCCGCCTTGCTGTTCATTGGTCTGATACAACAAGCCTCTGGGCCCTTTGTGTGTCACCTGTTTTCTTCCTTCCATGGGGGCATTGAGGTCCTTTTCTAACCCTGCCGTTCTGGACTCTCCCAGTGAAGGGATGTCACTCCCCCGCCCTGTTCTCTGAGCTCAAAGGCACCCTCTTCTCTGCGCCGATCCAGTGCCACCTGGGTTTTTTTTGGTGCTCCAGGAGCAAGAGGGTCCCAAGGCTTCCCGCGTGCCGGGCGCTGCTTTGCTTTACACTGACTTGTGGGCGCCTCCTTGTTCAGATGAGGAAGGCCCAACACAGAGAGGTGCGGTCCTGGGCCTGAGGCTGCACAGCTTGCCCTGTGGAGTGCCAGGTGTGCTCCGGGCAGCCCCACAGTGTGCTCCCCACCAGATTCCTGCCTCCTCTGGGTCCCGCACCCTCACCTGCTTTCCCAGAAACTTACCCAGATAGGCCACTGGGCAGTTACGGGCACTGCGGTCGCGGGCTCTGTCCTGGATACGGCAGTTGCTGGGTAGGCGTTCCTGTCCCTGGGTGCGGCCGTGAGCTGCGTCTGTCAGATGGGAAGGCAGGGAGCCCTGCTGACGTGGGATTACGCATAATGATGAGGCTTAGTGTGTTTCTGGGCGTTTTTATCAAATGGATAGTGCGTCATTTACGTGTACCGGTATTCCCTGGTAATGGTTTGCCTGCGTAGCACCTCAGGCCTGGTGTTGCATTGTAAGCTGCTGACTTAGCGTTTTTTCAGTCTAGGGACAAGCCGGATCTATGCTTGTTGATATGTAGGGACAGGAAGGGCATGGACAGGACAGGACAGACATGCTGGAGAACTTGGCTTCAGTAACTGTGCTGGTCACAAGAAATGAGAGACTTGGCAGGTGTGGACAAGGACAGAGCCTGGAGGCCAGAGAGAGTGCGGGTGTGAGGGGCCGGACGAGGCAGGTGGATACCCTGAGCGTCTGGGAGTCCAGCAGCGCCGGTCAGTCACAGTCGTGCTCTTCTTCTGCTCCGAGGCCTAGCGGTGTCCGTTCTCGCTGCGGCTCTGCCTCCTCAGGGCAGGTGGTCTAGGCAGCTGCCTGCGAGCTAGAGAAGTCTAATTTCATCTCCAGTTGCTTGCTTGTGCTCTTTTAGATACCCGAACACGGCCTGCGAGCTGCTGACTTGTGACGTGCCGCAGATCAACGACAGACTGGGAGGGGACGAGACGCTGCTGAACCTTCTCTACGACTTCTTGGATCATGAGCCGCCTCTCAATCCTCTGCTCGCCAGTTTTTTCAGCAAGACCATTGGCAATCTCATTGCAAGAAAGACCGAACAGGTAAAATCTGCCACGCCCACATGGTTTGGGGTGGGTGGCATGGCTGATGCGGACACATCTTGTTGTCCGCCATCACTGGGAAACCCCTGTCATCTGGCTGTGGGGGAACAGTTTTCCTGACTGTTCTGTGGGACTCGCATAGAGCAGTGTGGGCTGCCTGTCTGCAAGTTGGAATTTGATTTAAAAAGTGGCTTTCCAAGAGACATTTTTGCTGGAGGGCTCTGGAATAAGCAGCACTCCGCTGTCCCTGAGAACTGCGTGGGACCCCAAACTGGGCCTGCTCGTCTCGCCACTGACCAGTCGCAGGCTTGAGGTCCAGGGACGCGCTTCAGTCACGGCAGGATTGTAGGATGTCCGCTTTCCGAGGCCTGTTGCTCCATCTGTGTAGGTGGCGGACGTCCACGTGCATAGGGCACTTTTCGTTTCCAAACAAATAAGAGAAGACGTCTAGTAGTCACAGGCTTCTGTAAAGGTGCTGTGTTTCTTCCCCCTGGAGCACGGTCTGCCTGGGGTCTGTGCTTGTCTCTCCCTCACATCCCACTCACCTGACGTGCGCGTCAGCACCGTCTGCTGTGTGGACACACCAAGTAGGGAGCTGTAATGATGCCCTGTGCCTGGCGCCTGCGTCAGCGGTCACTCCGGCCACTCCTTTCACCTTTGACTCCTGCCCAGCATCCCTGGTGGGTTATTTCTAAACAGATCCCAGATATCATGTCATTCCTTCCACAAGTATTTCACTATATATCTCTAAAATAAAGTCTTTTTTTTTTTCCTTTTAAATGAAACTATAGACTAGGAGACAAGACTTTGCTGAGCAGATTACGTTATCACACCCCAAAATGTGAACAGTAGTTGTTTAATGTCAAACATCTAGTTGGGGAGCAAACCGGTACCTTGTGTGTCTCTGGAGCTCTGAGAGGGCGCCGTCCCCGGCAGGTCGCTGTCCGCGCGGCGGAGTCGTGGGCGTGCCGTGAATGCTCAGTGGAACTCCGTCTTTCATCGGACCGTAAATCCTAGGTTTGCAGGGTACCTGAGAGGACTGTCTCGCCTCACGTATTTTTTGAGGCAGGGAGAGCACGAACGAGTAGCAGCAGCAGTGGCGGGGGTGCTGGGCGCTCCTGGAACAGTAGTAGGGGTCAGAGTCCTGGTGGTGACAGTGGTGTGGGGCGGCGGTGCTGGCGGGGGGCGCCCATCACCCCAGCACAGGGAGTGGTAGAAGTTACAAGGACCTCTCGTGCCTGGCCTTCCAGCCCAGTGAGTGGACGCGTGTGCCCACGAGTCCCCGTGGCCTGCCCACGCTCCTCTGCCACTTTCAGATTGTGTCTGAGTTTTTCCACTTCACGAAGTACTTCCCTCTTTCTTCCTTGCCCAGTGCATCAAAATAATACGAACTGTACGCTTAAAAAGTATTTCTCCTACTGGCAAACGTAACGCATTTATACGAAATTTCAACAAGGCGGAAATGCAGGAAAGTTTCCTATAATACTCTAGAAGTAACTACTGTTGATCATTTATGTGTGTTCCTCTGAAGTTTTTTCCTGTAGCCGCCATACTGGTATACACAGGTGACCCTTGAACAGCATGGAGGACAAGGGGGCGCCGACCCTGTGCAGTCAGAAATTCGCGTATAACTTTTGACTCCACAAAACTTAACTATTTATATCTTACTATTGACTGGAGTCCTTACAGATAACACAGTCAGTTAGCACACGTTTTATATGTTATGTGTATTATATACTATATTGTTACAATAAAGCGAGCTAGAAAAAAGAAAACATTAAGACAATCATGAGGAAGAGAAAGTACATCTACGGTACTGCATGTGTTTATTGATACCGTGAGTTTACTTTGTCTACCAGATGAGTCATCTGTCTGAGCGCCTGCATCGGCACTGTCTCACGTGATGCAGGACACGATAGATGTTACACGTGTTACTAACAGTAGGCGTCGAAAATGAAAAGATAATGTGAAAAAGTCCTATTTATTGACAGATATAACGACTCACATTGATGAAGAAGCAGCAATAGGATTGCTTTATGGCAGCCTAGTGTATTCGACGAGGCTGCTTCACGGTAGCCTCGCCTGTACACTGGTGAATGAATCGTAAAATTTACATGGCGTACATGTTAGTCATACTCATAATACAGTATTGGCAACATGGGGCCCCCATCACCCCAGCACAGGGAGTGGTAGAAGTTACAAGGACCTCTCGTGCCTGGCCTTCCAGCCCAGTGAGTGGACGCGTGTGCCCACGAGTCCCCGTGGCCTGCCCACGCTCCTCTGCCACTTTCAGATTGTGTCTGAGTTTTTCCGCTTCACGAAGTACTTCCCTCTTTCTTCCTTGCCCAGTGCATCAAAATAATACGAACTGTACGCTTAAAAAGTATTTCTCCTACTGGCAAACGTAACGCATTTATACGAAATTTCAACAAGGCGGAAATGCAGGAAAGTTTCCTATAATACTCTAGAAGTAACTACTGTTGATCATTTATGTGTGTTCCTCTGAAGTTTTTTCCTGTAGCCGCCATACTGGTATACACAGGTGACCCTTGAACAGCATGGAGGACAAGGGGGCGCCGACCCTGTGCAGTCAGAAATTCGCGTATAACTTTTGACTCCACAAAACTTAACTATTTATATCTTACTATTGACTGGAGTCCTTACAGATAACACAGTCAGTTAGCACACGTTTTATATGTTATGTGTATTATATACTATATTGTTACAATAAAGCGAGCTAGAAAAAAGAAAACATTAAGACAATCATGAGGAAGAGAAAGTACATCTACGGTACTGCATGTGTTTATTGATACCGTGAGTTTACTTTGTCTACCAGATGAGTCATCTGTCTGAGCGCCTGCATCGGCACTGTCTCACGTGATGCAGGACACGATAGATGTTACACGTGTTACTAACAGTAGGCGTCGAAAATGAAAAGATAATGTGAAAAAGTCCTATTTATTGACAGATATAACGACTCACATTGATGAAGAAGCAGCAATGGGATTGCTTTATGGCAGCCTAGTGTATTCGACGAGGCTGCTTCACGGTAGCCTCGCCTGTACACTGGTGAATGAATCGTAAAATTTACATGGCGTACATGTTAGTCATACTCATAATACAGTATTGGCAACATGGTTAGAGTTTTTTAAAAACCACTTACCTGTGACGCTAGGCTGGTACACAGATTCTTTAATTATGAAAGAGGCATACCGAATGGCAATGTCATTATTTGAAGGCAAAGTTATAAAACTGGGAAAGCTCACAGGCTATTAGTTTTATATTAAATATCACTCACCTCGTGCCCACGTAGGAACCGGCTGTCCACTCCCACGCCAGCGTCGTGGGTGATGCCATGCACGATACTTCCCGGTGGACACCTGGGCTGTGCCCCACAGCTCTGGTCTCGCTTACCTGGGTTCCACACGGGACACTCAGGCACACACCCCAGGTGAGCTCATGAGCCATGCGTCGTGAGAACTTACTGTCCCCTGAGCGGACGTGGGTTATCGTGAAGGTCAGTGGCGGCGGCGGCCTCGTGCCGAGGAGCAGGCAGAGGGAGGGGAATGGAGGGCGGTCCCGTTGTCAGGACCCGGGCAGAGGCGGGAGAGGAGGCGCACTTGGCATCACTCTGTGGAGCTACATTTTGCTTCTTCATTTCTCTCAAAATGTTTCTGTACGGTTCCACTCCTCCTCCCGCCGCGTGCTGTGGTTCCAGTGCCCACGTCACAGACAGCCTTGGAAAAGCGTCAGGAGCAGCCGACGCCTCCGCCCGGCGGCCCGTGTCCGTCTGCTGTCTGGCGCTGCTCCCTGCGCATCTTCCTCGTCGCCTGATGCTGGCTCGGGAGCACTCGCCTCCATCAAGATGTCCTCTGTTACTTCCTCTGGTGTGCTGTCATTAGCTCCTGAATTTCTCCGTATCTTGAGACCCTCCACCCCTGCCTCTTTTGCCACATCCATCTGTTCCGTGATTTCCTTGATCGGCTCTGTCCTGAACCCTGTGAGGTCATGCAGCGTCTGGAC